AGGAAGGACCGGAGCTGCCAGGTGTCCTTTTAGGTCCTGCCCCCCACCCCCCGGCCCCCCATCTCTCCCAACTCCTCTATCTGCCAACTTATGTCACAGCCCAGCTCTGACCCGCGATGCCCTCCAGCAACCCCGTCCCTGGAGCTGGGCCTTGTCACCTCCTGGGGGAGGGGAGGGCAGAGGAGGGCAGGTGAGGGGGAGGGGAGGGGAGGGCAGGGGAGGGGCAGGGCAGGGGAGGGGCAGGGCAGGGGAGGGGCAGGGCAGGGGAGGGGCAGGGCAGGGGAGGGGCAGGGCAGGGGAGGGGCAGGGCAGGGGAGGGGCAGGGCAGGGGAGGGGCAGGGCAGGGGAGGGGCAGGGCAGGGGAGGGGCAGGGCAGGGGAGGGGCAGGGCAGGGGAGGGGAGGGGTTCCTCCTCCAGGGGCCCCGACAGTAGGGGAAGCGCACTGCTCACCGGGATCGGGAGGCGCAGTGGCTCCGGCTCCGGGTCCGGGTCCGCGCTCACGGCCTAGAGCTGTCGGCAGGACACAGAGCCGTCGGTCTCCCATGAGGCCGACACGTTACACGAAAATCAGATCCTGCCCATTTCCCTGAACCCCTCCGTTCGGTCAGGAACATTCCGGGGGTGTGCGGGTCGCCCTCAAACGTCAGTAGATACACCCAGCGCTTCGGGACCCAGGAGGGCAGCGGCTCCCAACCTCCCGGCCCTTTAAACACGGCTCCTCACGCTGTGACCCCACCATAACGTATTGTCGTGGCTCCTTCATCCCTGTCATGCTGCTACTGCGATGAACCCTCATGTAAATGTCTGATCTGCAGGACGGTCTTAGCGACCCCTGTGAAAGGGCCGTTCCAGCGCCAAAGGGTCGGGACCCACAGGCTGAGAACCGCTGCTCTCGAGGCAAGAGCAGGAGCTGAGGTGCTGAGACAAGACCACAGACCCACAACCTGCCCCGGAGGCCATCCCTGCTGGGAAACCCACGCCATTCCGGTAATTCTCTCATCACTGACGTCACTCCCTCTCTCCCTCTCCCTTCTCTCTGAAATCAAAAAACCATATTTTAATAAAGCAACAGTTGAGCAACATTATAAAGAACAAACTTGGGGGTGAGGAAGACATGAGACAAAAATAAAAACATAAAGACCCACAATCAATGGGACACAGCCAAACAGTTCTGAGAGAAACACCATACAGCAATATAGGCCTACCTCAAACAAACAAACAAACAAACAAAAACACAAGAAAAATATCAATAAATAAAAGAATACAGGTCCGACCAGAAGTAAACAAAACCGTCTAAAAATTACAAAGGTTTAATGAAAACAAGAGGTGGCTCCTGAACAAGATAAGCAAAATTGATAAACTAACCAGATTCATCAAGGACATAAGACTCAAATGAAATCAGAATCGAAAGAGAAATGATAACCGACACCACAGCAATACAAGAGCATTGTGAGAAAACTAGAGGCCCGGTGCACGAAATCAGTGCAAAGGCGGGCCTTCCTTCCCCGGCACCAGCTTCCCTCTGGCGCCTGGGACCAGGGCTTCTCTCGCAGCCCCGGCTTCGTCTGGAAGGTCGTCCAGAAGAACGGCCGGTCTAATTGGCATATTATGCTTTTATTATTATAGATAATCTGAGTAAATGCCAACAAATTAGCCTAAAGAGAAAAATTCCTGAAAACAGAAACAGTGAACACACCAGACCAGTGGTCGGCAAACTCATTACCCAACAGAGCCAAATATCAACAGGACGACGACTGAAATTTTTTTTTGAGAGCCAAATTTTTTAACTTAAACTATACAGGTAGGTACATTGTTATTAACTTCATTAGGGTCCTCCTAAGGCTTAGGAAGAGCCACGCTCAAGGGGCCAAAGAGCCGCATGTGGCTCGCGAGTCACGGTTTGCCGACCATGGCGCCAGACCAATAACAACAAACAAAAGCCCTGGACCAGATGGCATCACAGGTGAATTTTACCAAACTAGTCCAAAAAATTCAACATGAGGGAAGACTCTCAAACATGTTTACAAGGCCATCATTACCCTGAAACCAAAACCAGGGAAAGGCATCACAAAAAAAGAACATTATAGGCCAATAACCCGCAAATAAAAAAAGAAAAGAAAATGAGCAAACTGAATTTAGCAATACATTACAAAGATCAGCCCTGGTGCCCCTACACCACAAGGCTGCAGGTTCGATCCCCAGTCAGGGCACAGACCCAGGGCTGTGGGTTCACTCCCTGGCTGGGGTGTGTGCTTGAGGCAATCCATCGATGTTTCTTTCTCACACTGATGTTTCTCATTCTCCCTCCACCGCTCCCTTCCTCTCTCTCAAATCAATAAAAATATATATTTGGGTGAGGATTAAAAACAAAACAAAACAAAAAAACAGAGAGAGCCCTGATCAGTATGGCTCAGTGGTTAGAGCGTCGGCCTGCGGACTCAAGGGTCCCAGGTTCGATTCTGGTCAAGGGCATGTACCTGGGTTGCGGGCACATCCCCAGTAGGGGGCATGCAGGAGGCAGCTGATCGATGTTTCTCTCTCATCGATGTTTCTAACTCTCTATCCCTCTCCCTTCCTCTCTGTAAAAAATCAACAAAATATATTTTAACAACAACAACAAAAAACACAGAGAGAGATCACACACTACGATCAAGTGGGGTTTATTGCTGGGATGCAAAGATGGTTCAATATATGCAAATCAATTAACATGATACCACATAAGCAAAACTGTATGATCATATCCATAGAGGCAGAAAAAGCACTTGACAAGATCCAACATCCTTACATATATAAACATTTCTTAACTTTGGAGAGAAGGAGCGGGAGAGGGAGAAACATTGTTCGGTTGCCTCCCCGTATGCACCCTGACTGGGGATCAAACCCACAACCTGGATATGTGCCCTGATCAGAATCGAGTTAGTGACCTTTTGATTGGCCCGACAACACTCAACCAACTGAGCCACACCAACCAGAGCCCAACATCTGGTAGAGTGGGAACAGAAGGAACATAATGCAACATAATGAAGGCCAACCCACAGGTAACATCATACTCATGGGGAGGTCATCAAAATCAGAAAGGAAGAAGTAAAACAGACATTATTTGCAGATGACATGATACTATACATGGACAACCCTAAAGAATCCACCAAAAAAATCTATCAGAACTGACAAATTCAGAAAAGCAGTGGGATGCAAAATGAATATTCAGAAACGAGGTGCATTTTATACCAATAACATACTATCAGAAAGAGAAACTAAACTTAGAAACATGCAAAAAAAACCCCCAAAAAACAAAAAAACAAAACAAACCAGAAACTACTCTCTTATACCATATAGAAGAATAAACTCAAAATTGATTAAAGAACATTTTAAATGTAAGACCCCAAACCAAAAAACTCCTAGAAGAA